ACATCCTAAAATATTAAATTAATAATAAAAAAAATTTTGATAAATTTTTTTTAAAAAATAAATTATAAATATCTATTCAAATAATTACAAATTCAAAAATTTTAATTATAAATAAATGTTTAAGTATCAAATATAACTCTTAAATTATAATAGAAATTTTTTTCTATATCTATTTGAATTGATATTTATAATTTATTTTTTAAAATTTTTTATAAAAGATCTAATTATTATTAACTCAATAATTTAGAACCTAACTGAACATTCTCCCATTTGGTATTGTCTCTGTCATAATCATCCACAATGCCATGATAAGGAATGGTGGAACCTCCATTTGAATCTGTCGAGTTCATGTGGGTGGTTGTTTGACTGCTCTTGGTTTGATATCTTGACTAAAAGTGTTAAAAGATTTGGTTTGACCGGGTTTTGATGATAAAACCAAACCAATCAATCCATATAAAATCCGATGTTTGATTTGGTTTTGTCTGGTGAGTATAAAAAGTTTACAGTATAGATAATCTCTTTCGACATATTAATGAAGAATGGTAAACTCTTCCCATCTATATTACATAGGTATTTGATAGGGTGTTTTTTTTTTTTTAATGAGCTTGGTTTTACTATTATTTTTTTTGGTCAACTTGGATTGGTTTGATTTAAACATGGAGCCAGCTTTAATAAATTTTTTGTAGCCGTAAATAAATGCTAAAATTTACTTTCTTTTCCTCTCATTTTTTTCTTCTTTTTCCTTATCAATTGCTTGTTATATATGTGATTAAAATTTACTGTTAATCATTTGAAGTTGGTATCCCATGAGATTTTCGCTCCTAAATAAACAAATTCTCCATGGCACAACCATTAAAATCGGGAAAAAAATATTTAATTCTAAGTTCAAGTCATGAATTAATGGTTTCGGACATTCATCTTGGAAATAACACATCCAAAGGTCTTTGTCACTAATGCTAGGCTATGTATTTGTAAGCTGCATTACAATTTGTGTTAATGACTATATTAAAATGTAATTCATTCCTAATGAAGAAGTTTAAGTTTTTGTACATGGAATTATAAAAAAAAAAAGGATGCTGAAATGGTAAAAGAAAGGAATGGATCCTCTGAAATTGAGAATCCAAGAATTTTATAAACTTTCTTTTTTTAGAAGAGAGAAAAGACTTTATAATTTATAAAAAAATAATAAAATGATAAAAAATACTAAAATAAAAAAACCTCACAGAAATTTATGAATTTTTACTTTTGAGAATTTAAGTTAAAAAAAAAGATACTAAGAAAACACTAATTGAAAGTGGGATCACATAAAAGTGTGAAAAGAATTAAAAAAAAAGGGAAAAAGAAAAAGAACATAGAGCTTTTATTTAAAAGAAGGAAACCTGGAGCAAAAGAAAGGAAAGGCAAGGTAAAAGAGAAGGGGGGTATATAAAAATATAATTGATTTATTGCATATTAAATTATATAGATACTATTTGAAATGTAGAAAAGGTTAGAAGGACAAGGAAATAGAGAGCACATAATATTATTTAAACAAAAAGATTTTCGCGATCATGATTATAAGATATCCAATTACACTATATAAAGAGTTGGAGCTCATGAAAGCACCTAAAATTTGAAAGTATAATTATTCGATCCGTTTAACATAGTAAAATAAAGACATGGAAAATTCACAGAAATTCATCAATTTTTTCTTTTGAGAATTTAAGTTAAAAATAGGAAAAGTTACATTCAAGTCTCACGAAAGGAAGTTTATTATTAAGAGATCCTAAATTCTAAACAATGATAACCTGATTAAGAGTACTTACAACTTGACAATGGCTATTTACAAATTATTATTGTAACTTTTTATTTTCTTTTAAATTATAAATGGTCATTACCCAATTGTCAATACCTTTAGTTAAGTTGTTAATGTGTAAAATTTAAAACTTAAAAGTATTTTATAAAATTTATAAAATTTTTTATTAATAAACTTTCTACAGGACTTAAATATAGTGTTAAAAAAATATAGTAAGGAAACACTAATTGGAAGTGGGGTTCACATAAAAGTATGAAAAAGGATTTAAAGAAGGGAAAAGAAAAAGAAGACAGAGCTTTTCTTTAAAAGAAGGAAAAGACCCAGGGGCCACAGACAAGACAAGAGAGAGAAAAGAAATATATAAAAATATAATTGAATTATTGTATCTTCAAATTATGTTAGATAAGACTTGAAATGTAGCGAAGGTCAGAAGGATAGGGAAATAGAGGGTGCATTCTATTATCTAAAAAAAAAAATTACTTTTATGATCATTGTTAAAAGACATCTAGTTACATTCTAAAGAGTTGGAGACCGAGGAAGTAACTAGAATTTGAAAGTATGGTTATTCAATCCGTTTCTTTTTCACCCCTTCTGTTCTTTAATTTTTTTTAATTATATTTATCTCCCTTATATTTTATATGGGATATTATATTTTATTCACATAATGTCTAATCTACGAGTAATTTTGATAGGTTAGAATTCTAGAAGATAAATACAAATAAAAAACTTAGAGATAGTTTTAAAAAAAACTTAAGATGCGCCAAAAAAAAAACTAAGATGCAGATTCATGGTTAAATAAGTTTTATGGATTTCGTGAAAAAAATTCAACGCTAATAAAAAAAACTAATTAATTTAAAAGGTGAAGACTACTAGTCCACGTGAATCAGGATCTTACTTTTGAGTTTTGACATTTTTATTTATTGAAAAACTCTTATATTGTTATTACTACTACTTTTTTATACAAAAAATACTTTTTCCGTTAAAAAATATAAAATATTTTTAATTAAATTTTATTTTTTATTAAAGTAGTTATTTATTTTTAAATTAATTCTATCTTTTTATATTTATTCATATTAAATATCCTATAATAAATATAAAATCACTATCAGTAGGGGCACTTAAAAAAAAAGACAATAATTACATTTTAAAAGATTTAAAAATATTTTATATTTTTAAACATCAAACTTATTAAAAATGTCTTATATTTTTTTAAAAAAATATTTGTTATTAATACTTTTCTTATTTGATATATTTTTCATTTAAATCTCAAATTCAACTTTTCCCGCACTCCTTTTCTGATTAAAATTAATTAATGGGAATGATAAAGTCTTTCACAGTGTAAGTTGGACATCTATAGTATTTCCACAACTTGTTTATTGTGACCTCAGACCGCCAGACTAGCGGACTAGATCCTATTTCTTGTTGTTTATTCTTTTTTTAGAGTTGGCTTTCATCCTCCTACCTATCATTTATCCTTCTCTCCTCTTAGCCAACTTCTCATTCTCCTTGTTAACTTTCTTGCATTCTTCTTCTTTATCTCCTTAATTTTTTTCTCATTGATCCATTAATGTTTAATTAATTATATTTTTTATTTATAGGTTATTATATGGAAAGGGGGAGTAAATTGAATATTAGTGACTAAATTATTACACAAAAAGTATAGGTAGAGAAGTTATTAGCTCACAATTTTTCTCTTGAATTTAAATCAACCATCTAAAACTTTGCTTCTGTTTTTATTAGCTTTTATTGATACATGTAGTTACCAATTATTTAAAGTAATGGCAGTTGCCACTTTTAAAATTTTTATATATAATAATATAAAAATTTAAAGTTATAAATTATGTTAAATATAATATGATTTTCATAAAATTTTTAAATGAATTTTATTAGTTCTGTTTATTATACAATGATATATTATTTTTTTAATTCATTAAATATGTTTCGCATTATAGTTACACTTAAATTAAAAGCTGATATTCTTTCTAGAAAATCTGCAAGGAGAAAAAGATATTTAAATTTAATAAAAAAGGAAGAAAGATACAAAAATCAAAATAAGATTATGAAATCATATAAGAAAAATATAATCCTCATGATCATAAGAGAAGAAGAGAGAAAGGAGTGGAAAGTAGAAATGAAACACACAGAGAGTGTGGGTGTTTAAATAGAAATAGAAGCATGACATCTAATGAGAATGAAAAAAAAAACAAGAAATTAAAATTTGAGAGAATAAGTTAAAATTTAAGAGAGTTAAAGTAGAAACTTACGGTTTGTGATAAGGAACAGTGAGAAGTTCCCATGGTTCCTTACAATGTGGAGTACCGTATCAAATAAAATAATTTAATGGTTATAGTTAATATAGCATGATTAAAATTGGTTTGATCAAAAGTCGAGTTCAAGATACCAGGTAATTCTCATACTAATATTTTAAGAGCAAAAATAACATTTAAACCCCTTTTTCCAATTGATGTCATGTGTACGCCACATCATCATGTTCCACATGGTCTAAAAAGGTTAACAAAATGTGTCTACATAAGCACTTAACATCAACATTTCAGGAGATAATGACAAGGTAGAAATGGATAAGTTTTCAAACGTTTGGAAGCGTTTTTTTTTTTTCTTTTTTACTTAAAATCAAGTTTAGAACACCAACTGTTTCTAAGCAAATATTATGAGGGCAAAAAGACCTTTAACCATTCGACAAATTAGGATAAATTCCATTGTTTTTTAACCAATCATTAGATTTCACGAAATTTTTTACAGTTTTTGAAACCATGGCAATTTTATTGTGACTAAATCAGTTTTTTTTTTTTTGGGTAGTATATAATATTAAATCAATGGACGCAATAATTTTTAAAAGGGATAAGAAAATTTTTAAGATTCTTTAAATTTGTCTCATTTATCAATTGAGTCTCTAAAATTTAATCTTTATTAGTCAAATTTAGGAATCAAAAGTTTTATTATCCTTTTAAAATTTATCGCATCCATCGATCATATCATGTTAATGAATATGTTAAATTATCCAAGCGTCATGACATATGATTAAAATAATAGATGATTAAAATTTTAGAGTGATGAGTCAAGATATTTATAAATTAAACTTGGTCTCACTAAACATCAAAGATGTATATATCCATCAACAGAGTTAAAACCAGGTCATTACTAATTTGATTCATAGAAGAATCATCATGATGAACCACATTGAACCCTACACATTCTCAGTCATTGTTCCATCAGCATCGGCAAAAGGAGGGGTCTCTGAGTTTGAGTCTTCATTATCATCTCTGGGTGCATATAATACAAAATGCTGAATCATGAATATAACGTCAAAAGTTACAATAACCTGCAAATTAACAAATTCGAAAGACCATAATAAGTATTTCATTAATGTGAATCAATATAAAGTTCAGGTATAATGAAAAAGGAATGATCCATACCAGAGAAAAGATATAATTGTCTATCTCTTCGCGGAGCTGCTTCTTAGAATCTGAGATTTGAGAACTTGCCAGATCACTTTAATATAAACTTAGAAAGCAATTGAGATTTATGTTCTATATATATATATATATATATATATAAATGGAAAACTACATTTAAATCTCATGAAACATACTTATTTATAAATAAGTCTTAAAGTTTAGAAACCACAATTAAATCACTTGAGATTTGAGCATAATTTAAAATTAAGAAACAAAGATAATAATACTCCCATTAAAAGTACATTTCATCAATTAAATACTCTTCCTGTTAAAAAATATAAGGCATTTTTAACCGAATCTCACTCTCTAATAAAGTAGTTACCTAATTTTAAACTAACTCTATCTTTTCATATTTACCCCTATTAAACACTCTACAATAAATATAAAGTTATTATAAATGGGGACACTTTTTGAAAAAAGGCAATGATTATACCTTGAAAGACTAAAAATGCCTTACATTTTTTAACATCTAACTCCTCAAAAAATGCCTAATATTTTTGAATAGAGACAATAATTTATATCTATTATATTAGTAATTTACAACTATTACTTTAATTTTTTATAATTGTAACATCACATATCCAATAATTAAATTGACAATGCATTATAAGTTTAATAATAATTATATACAACTACCTCATCAATTATTTATAATTATTATTTCAATATTTTTCAACTACAATTGCACACATCTAACAATTAAATCAATTATATATGTATTACTAACAAAGTCTAGTATTAATTATTTACAACTATCTCATCAGTACTTTACAGCTATTACTTTAATATTTTTTAACTGTAACTTTACATATCTAATAATTAAACTAAATAAATAAAGATAAAATTATTGTTGCCTCCTAATTTCAAATTACACTCAAACCTTAATGAACCTGATTGTAATTTTTAAATTTTATAAAATTTATTTATAAATAAGTCTAATCCACGATATTTATACATAATTTTCTCATAGATAAATTTCATGTGATGTGAGTACAAACCTTTATTTATGGATATCAAAGCAACTTGAACATAGGTTCCTAAATGTCCAATAAATTCCAATAGAATATTCCCTATGCTCCAGCCTTCTGTACTTTTTCTCTTGAAGTTCATCCAAACCTGCACTTATTTTAAATTATATTACAGTTCATGAGTACTTGAACATATGATATGAATATGAAATGGATTTTATCCTTACCTGTGGGACATATCTTATACTGGCCATCACATTCGCAATGACACTGCAAAATGGTTCATTTCAACATTACTAATTAGCCTAGTTGTTCTTGAAATTTATTCTGGTTTGACCTAGCTTGATTGGACAATGGGTTAGACCTGGTTGGATATTAAGTTGACCCGATTTGATTGGGCATTGGGTTGTCGTGCATCGGGCCTAGCCCATAATTATTGTAAGGTAATATTTAAGGAAAATTGTGCATAAGTACCAAAAATCAAAACATTTGGGAGGAAGGGAGAAATTTTAAATGCAATTAGGTTTTAAGAGATCTTTAAGGATATGTATTGATAATTCTTGAACCTTAATTTCAGATCTGCAATACACAATCAATGATATTCAAGGTTGGTCCTTTCTCCCAAATATTTCCTTCTTTTTCTTTTTTCCTTACCCACAATTTTCCCTAATATTTATGCTAATATGAGGTGGAAAACAAATTAGTTGAGGAAGCATAACATACTTGAAGATTGAGAAAAACCAGACCCATTGATTTTCAAGCATAGCTATGAAGAAGGAGAATGTGATAGCTGACCAAGCAAGAGGCAAAATATTTATGGCTCTTTTGGACACTTTCTGATCTCCACACTAAAATAACAAACCACAATAAGAGATTTCAACAATGACAACAGAGCGCAAAAAATAATAATAAAATAAAATAAAATAAAGGCTCAAAAGTGCTCAATGTAAAAACGAAAAAAAAAATATATATATATACATATATATATATGTATATATATATATATATATGGTGCTAACTTCATAGATTGCAGTTTGGAACAAGGTGATCGTTGTGAGCACAACAGCATGAATTGAGAAGGCAACGTGACTTGTTACAGCAACAATCATCTGAAACACAGAGGTGAATTAAAATTAAAAAAAAGGGTTTTTAAATATCAGAATCCAAACTTATAAGCTTTGATTTAGCATTCACAAGTGGATTATAGCAAAGTAGGGCTAACCTTGTGGTGACCATATTCGTCCGTGTACTGCTTCTTAATCTCAGGGCTGAAGAACATAGCTACGTTGCATACCAGATACAAGATTTGCGTAGCCAGATTGAACACCACGAAATCAGAGCTCAAACCCACAACACTGAAACATAATAACCCAGAAACCAAGGCAAATTAATATGGTAAAAGGAATTGAGTGAAATAAAAATATTTTTATTCAAATTTTCGACCTTTTCCTGCGAAAATTCACTATGACTTGTGGGTAGAGACTGATAGACCAGAGAGCAAGAATGAACCAACCCAGAACTTCGCATGCCACATTGTTCCAGGAAGACATTTTTGGTGAAGAATGTCGCTGTGAAGAATGAGAGGAAAGAAAAGTATCAAGTATTAAACCAGCACAAGCATGAGCATCAGAAATGAAGTATCATCATCAAGAACAGTACAATAAAACAGAGCCAAAAACAGAGGATAGCTCATCATGAAGTAATTACCTCTCAGATTTTCTCTGAACTGTTTTCTATTCCTTTGCTAATGCGTAGTATAAAAGTCTTTGATGAGTGGTATTTATACTACAGTGTGGATTCAATCTTGAACTGAATCATATCATTCAAGACAATGCATTCCGATGTCTGTGTTTGGATTTGGTTTCATTGTTGTGTGCTGTTCATAGCGTGAAGTTTTGAAACTGATAGAGATTCCAGAGCTCCATGTGTATTTTAGCAATTGGTCTCACCGACCTCAATAAATTGTTTTGATGCATTTGTTTGTGGCATTTTCCTATCCAGCTATCCAAAAATTGAATCTGAAGTTTTCATTAAACTTACTCTCACTTGGGAGAAACTGAATGGATTTTTGTTAAGAAACTGATTATTTATCTTTCTTCAATTTGAAAGAAAGACAATTCCTTAAACACTCACAAAAGCCATGTAATTTCTCGGTTTTCCACTTCTATAAATTAATTTTAAATATATGGACTACATTGATATAGAATGTCTTTTAATAATAAATATTCGATTTGCAATCACCAAAGTCTTTCACAAGAGAAACGGCAACAGCCTAAACCATGAAAACAGGGGGTCAGTAATATAAGCGTGGTGTTATCAGGCGTAGCGGTGGAGTTTTGTTCTTTACTAAATTTATGTATTGATGTTTTGTTAGGCAAAGCGTTATGCTACTTCTTTTATTATATTAGAAAAAAAATTAAATTATTGATCCCCATTCACACGTTAGGTTACGGGTTGACACATATTACCATCTTTACTTATTTGAGCTAGCAATACGTGTCTACCTTTTATTTATTTTTTGATGGACTGATCTAATGATATTTATTTTTCTATACTAAATGATTAAATAATTGTTTCAAGGTTTTCTTTGCCAAACGTAGAACCCTTCTTATATTGCATTGCTTTTAAAATTCCCTTTAAAAAATAAAAAAAAATAGTATCATTTCCATATTTATATCAGATCTTCATGAGGGATTCATTAAACCTATGCATCGATTGTCAAAGGCTCACCAACTTGAAGCTTTCCCACGTGGAATTTTTAGAGAGATCCAAATATAAGACGAGTCAAGTCATAAGTTTGGGATCCAACATTGTTATTATTGGCTTTATCATTTATTGCATCTCATCTCAATAATTATACAAATCTGTTGTTCAATTTGATTATTGACAATAAAAGATTTAGCCGCCAAGAATTCTTTGCATGTATTTACGGGATAATCACTATAATTTCATGTGTTAATAAGCATTAGATTATCGTGGCAAAAAAAAAAGCATTAGATTATTATTCTAAACTTCAATACACACACACATGCAGAGTGTGATTTTATTGTCTTAATGAGTGACTATTGAAAGTTCATTGTTGAGACACACAATTGAATGGAGAGGTCATTGATGCAAAACTTTTCATGCATGTCAGAGTTATCATTATCTATTATTATTTTATGATTGGATCAGATTTTATCATTGTCACATCAATGTACAATAATTCTTATACCACACTGCTTTTGAATTCTCGTAAAAAATTACAATGAAAATAATTTTAAAAAATATTCATATTCATATCAGAGTTATCAGCATGAGGAATTCACTAAAGCTATGCATTGATTGTTCGAGGTTCACCCTCAAGCTTACCATGTGGAATAACTACTTTTAGACATACTCAAATGTGAGATAATTAATCATTTAAATCAAGGATTAAACACAAACAATATGATTAATTCACGTCCCAAAAAGCACCACATAATTTCACTTACAAACAGACGAGAAGCAGATTTTCAAAATGACAGATAGATGAATATCTGAATTTCAACTGCTTTTTCCACGTATTCTATCGTGGTAAATTTTCAAAGACTATATCTTCTCTACATCTGCCTCCGATATTTATAGAATACATTTCAAAAGGCATTAACTATAAAATATTTCTCAATTTAATATAAATAAATTACTCTCATTATCGGTCCTTGCTATAAGGAAATGTTAACTTCTTTATGTAGATTAAAAATTTCATTAAATATTAAAATTTTTCATTATTTTTAGAATTACTACCCCTAGTTAAAAAATATTATTTTACCAAAAAAAATAAAAAATATTATTTCTAAATCATTTCGCGAGTAAAACGGCCTGGAGCATCCTAATTTAGAAAAACAGGGTCGTTAGAGAGCAATAAAAGCGTAGTCTTGCTAGGCAAAGCAGTAGAGTATTGTTCTTTATTAAATTTATATATCTTTGTTATTTTTGGTAAGCAAAGCATCATGCTGCATTTTTCCTTTTAAAAAAGAATATATATATATATATATATATCATTTCCTTATATCATAGTTATCTGCCTGAGGAATTCATAAAACCTATACATTGATTGTCAAAGGTTCATCTTTAGACTTACCTCCACATGTTTTAACACGATTCTATCTTTTGGCTTTATTATTTATTGCATGTCAATTGTCACATCTCAAAAATGAAGAGTGATCGGTAGGGGATGTGAAATATGTCACATATCCATGTAAGCCTCAAATCGTAACATCATTTTTATTTCTAAATTGAAATCAAATTTATATTAAAATTATAACACTTTTAATACTAGTCATTATAATAAAATTTCAACATGTTTGTAAAAATTTTAACAAAACTTTCCTTATAAATAAGATCTCCTAAAAACTCTATGATACATTGATTCAATTAAAATATTAAATAAATTAGGAGTTTAGCTCTTTCTAGCCAATAAACAATATATATATTAAAATAAAATTCTAACTATAGACTATGTGGAACAAATAATCTTACTTTTAAAGTAAAATACATGAGTCCAAATGTTTACAACAAATGAAGATAATGCTAAACAAAATTTCACATAGAACAATTGTATGCCCTTCGGAGATCAACAGTAGGATAAGCATCAGTTAATGAATCTGAGACCAAAATAAATTTTCAACAAATAGCATCTTAACAATAAATAATTAAATATGTACAAAAGTTATTGGAATTGATTAATTAACTAAAATTAAAACTAAATTTAATAAAGACTCAACAAAATGTTAAAATCCAACAACTACGCAAGTAAACTTGGATTTCATTTTAACCCAATTAATTAATTTCAAAGCTAATTTTGTTAATAGAGAGTGTAATAGCTATTAGGGTCTTTCAATCTACTAACAACCCTCTCTTGAATTAATTATGTTATTTCTAACACAATTATTCAAGAGGCAACTCAACTCAAGAACACACTATAATGATTATATGGGACAATTAAGTATATGTCTATCTTAATTATGAATTAGATAAAATTTAATCCCATAATACACAATTCAATGGTCTAGAATAGATTCCTCTTCGTTAAGGAAAAATCCCAACACCGAAAATCACATTTAATGTTGGCCAAGTGTCAAATAGATATTAAAGCACAAGATTGAATAACTAAAATCAACATTAAGCATAACTAATGGATAAAAATAAGTCCAATCCATCAATAGGTTCATAGTTCTTTTAGGTCTAAGAGATTCAGCCGCACGTAAATATGGAAATTGCAAAGCTAAATAGAGAATATATCAAAATGAAGAAGAGAAGGAGAAGAAAAGCTTAATCTGAGTGATTTTAGACAAAAGTCACTAATTTCCCATGAAACTCAAGTTCCTCTACTTCATCCATGGTGTTTTCCCTCTTCCCTAGTTAGTTTGGAGCTGCTGGAGATGAGCCAAGATGAAGAATGTCAAGTAAAAACGTTCATAACCCTAAAAATATCAGTTTTTTGTGAAGCGATGCATTTCAATAATTGATGATTATGCTACAGCATAATCATGTTCTGCTGTGGCATAAATTCCATTGTCACTGAACTATGTTGTAGCATGAATCCAATGTGTTGTAGCATAAATTTTGCCCTTTTGTCATATTCAATCGTTACTTACATATAGCCCTTTGAGTCTTAATTTGGATTACCGTACATACAATATAATATCATTAATGAAAGTTTAGCTCAAGTAATCCATTTATTTCAACAAGGTATTACCAATTCTCCCTTCTCATATTCAAAAGAACTTGTCTTTCATTTTCTTAAATAATAATTTTATTTTCTCTCAAAATTATTTAGATAACTCCAAACTGAACATAAACTTTCTTAAAAACACATGAAAATATTTGGAGTCGTAAAAAAGGAAAATTTAAATTAATTATGTGTGCTAGATATGACAATTTTCACAAAAAAATATTTAATAAACTTTAGTATACAAGGGCTCTATATAACATTAAATAAAATTTTAATTCATTTAAGTATTATATCAATCGTCATTATCATTTATTTTTAATAAATCAAATAACTGTATTAAATAATTATAAATATGTCACTAGTCAAAACCAATGAAAAATAGATTCATCAAATAATTAAAAATGCATAATTATACATACTTATTATAACAATTAACAAATGTGGATACACAGTTTATAAGGATAATACTAACCAAATATGACTCAGAGCCACGAAATCAAACACGGGTATTAGACCTATCAACAACAAACGTGAGAACAAAGCTCACGAAATTTAAACTAGCTAGTTATTAACCAAGGCGCCAAGGGCTAACGGAATTACTGCTAGTAACCAGTGTTTTGTATAAAGTCCCTTTCAAATTCAATTTCAAACATGCAAAAAATAATCACTATTAAATAAAATTTTCATTGTCAATGTCGAACTTGCAGGAACCGTTTTTTTTTTTGTATCAATTCAATAGTTTCCAAAATGAAATTTCACAATTAAAGTCCAATCTTATATTTATTGATTAACTAAAATTATCAAATCTGATAAAGAGAGTTTCACAAAATAAAGTAATTTAAAAAATCAAAATAG